TGTTTATTTTTGATTGCTGTTGCTATAAATTGGCTCATGGCAGTGATAGTATTCATCTCAATCTGAAAAAGGGAATATCAGTGAACCTATATGTGGCATTTATTCCTGTAACCATTGCTAGTGAAGCCTAATTAATTCTAATTACTAATTAAAGTTGATTAAGTGTGTGAAAATTAAATGCTAGTAAGAATGTGGTGAAAATAAATGATAATAAAAATATAAAAAGCAGAAATCTGAATCAGTTAGAAATTTGATAATAAAATTTTTTACAAATATTATAAACATTAGAATCCTCTAGAGTCCTCTAGATTCCTCTAGAATCCTCTATGCCTATTATAAAGTCCTCCAGCCAGGACAGTGTAAAGTATCCATATTAAAACCCAAAATCTGTAGGCCTGTATACAGCAGTCCAATTTAGATCTTTTGAGGTTGAGAGAGAAATATGTAACTAATTATAAACAACCACAGACAAAAATAGCTAACAAAACCTCTCCCTTTCAAAAGGAAAGTTGATCACTACCAATACCGCTCAAAAAAAGAGAAAAGCTAGAACTAATTCTTTGGAAACTAGATGATTGATAGTAGTTGCTATTCTTTACAATTCAGGATTCATATTTTTTCAGCTTTCCTTTCTAAGGTTTTTCAGTGGGTAATCTGCAGTAAGCAAGTTAAACTATATTTTGAAATACTTGTATCATTCTCTTGATCTCATAAATAAATAAGACTACTTTAAAAAAGCATTTAAGGCATATTTAAAAACCCCACTTTAAATAAAAGGAATGGATGAGTTATGTAAAAGTTCTTTGAGATGGATTTTCTGCTTTTTTTCTATTTGACATTTTATGTATATATACATGTGCATGAAACTATGACATGTTTCTTTTTAATTAAAATGGCCATAGACTTCTGCATTAATGAGCTTAACATGAATTTGGAATTATGAGTATTCATCTTGAATTTCTAAATATTTAAAACTTGCAGAAAGATAAATTGTCCTGTGATGAACCGCTTTGCCTGAATTCAGCTATCTGACATTAAACTTTTGTGCATGTGTATACACACATACTTCTTCAAACTTCTTTTCATTGTTTCCACTAATTTTTTATACTTTTTCTTGATTTAGAATCCAGCAAAAGTAATCATGCACTTTACTGGGCTGGGGGCTGCGGGGTTAGCATTTGCTGGGTTGGGGGCTGTGGGGTTAGCACTTGGTGCTTTCATTCTTTAACTTAGCCCTTGCCTTTGTGATCTTGCTGTGCTTTGCTTGCCTGTTTGCTTTTTGTTTTCCTCTGTTTTTATGATACTGAAATTTTACGTCCAAGCTAGTTTTCTTGTACATTATCTCACCAACTAGGTTGGTTTGGTTCCTTCCTTATAATAGGATTCATTTTAGACATTTTGCCAAGAAAAAGAGATGACTTCCTCATTCACATCAGGAAGGTTTTGATGTCCATTTGTCTCTCTGTTAGTGCTAAATTTGTTCATATGTTTTAACCAACAGCTTTATATCTATAGTGTTATTCCCTAGTGTCATCTGTTTCTAATGCTTTGTGGTTGTCTGAATGTCCTTTGATTTTAGCATCTTCTATTTCTCTTAACTGAAGTAGTTTTTTTTTGTTTTGTTTTGTACGTTTTTTTTAAAAATAGTTTTTAGATAGATTATAGATTGTGTAGATCCTACAGATATATTTGCTGTCCTGATAGAATAGGGAAAATAATATTTTTGGATCATAAGTGCAGTTTTACATGTGTTAACACTCACAATCAATTTTCTTTGGAAAATAAATCCATTTTGTTATTAATTGAATTTAAATGAAACTTTTTTCTTGTTATCTCTTGTCTATTGTTATCTCTGCTTTTCTGTCATTTAAAACTGTCTAATTAACCTCACTTCTTTGGACTTAATGATTTCTGTAGCCCTAACATTTTTAACAATTATATATTATTTTCCATTAACAGCTGTAGAAATACAAAGGTCCCTGAACCAACTTGGAACACCTCAAGATTCACCTGAATTGAGGCAACAGCTGTAAGTATCTGAACAACAAAAAATAAGAAACCTATTGCTATGATTATGTTGCCTTTTAAGAGGGCATTTATTAGCAAAAACAATGGAAAGGTAATAAGGTTATTTCTTATCCAAAACATCTGTAACTAGGTTTTATGTAATTTTTGCAGTAGGTAAGTAGGTATTTTTCTTTATTTTAAAGATCTGAGTAACTCTATTGAAGCAAATCATCTTCAGCTAGCATTTTTTATACATTTTAAAAAGTTTTTTTAAACAGCTTTTGAAAAATGAAGACTCTAACCTCTACTTATATAATTTACTGCCAGACTTTTTTTCTTGATTTGGATCTAGTACATTTCCATTTATGTGAGCTATACTACCAAAAGTTTATACTCATATGCTTAAATTCCAAAAAGCTTTACCTTCTTTTTTTTTAAGGGGGTTATAATAATGACATTGTATGTAACATGTCTGAGAAAATTACTCTGCTGAAAACCGTGATAGTATTTTGTGGTATCTTACTGATTTTGCAGTGTTTTTGCAAATCTTCTCTAAAACTGCAACATTGGAGTGAGATATATCAAAAGAATTATTTTCAGTTTGCTTATAAGAAAAACATGACTGTTGGGAGTTTGATGATTTGCACATTATTTAGAACCTCACTTTTAAAAGTTTGGTGCTATAGTAGCTACACATCTCCAAACAACATTAACTATAGAAGGAAATTGCAAAGATGAAGAAATTATAAGTAGTAGCGATTCATTGTTTTACTTTTTGAAGTGGATAGTTGTCAGGATTATAAAAATGCCCCCTCACCCTAATAATTTATTAGACTAAAGTAAAATGAAATAGAGATGTATAATTTACATTTACAGTATTTTGGTAGTCAGTAAGGAAATTCTGGTTATGTGAACTTGATCATTAAGGTCTATTTTAGAACTTCATCTATACTGTTACTTCCAAAGATTTACAAAAGCATATCAAGAATATGTTAATTAAGTAGAGATATAAATTGGTTGCAATTCTTTAATTTGTTCAACACAAATATCTGTACTTAAGCGTGTTACAGAATTTCTTTGTTATGGCCAGTCCATGTTTAAAATATGAAATAGTATATATGAGAGGCACCAATGTGTAATTCATGAAACATCTCTTTAATACAAGATTATTTTATTTAGTGTCAAGTTTTTTCAGTCAGTTTTTTTAACTTCCTAAGATCGCCAGAGAAAGGCAAGTATGGATATAATTAACTTTTTTTTTCATTTTTTTTCTTCTTGTTTTTGTGCCAGTTCTTGGGCTTGAACTCAGGGCTTGGTCACAGTCCTTGACTTTCTTTGCCGAAGCCTAGTGCTCTACCACTTGAGCCACATGCCACATCTCTACTTCCAGCTTTATTTTTGGTGGTTCACTGGAGATAAGAGCCTAATCGACTGTCCTGCCTAGGCTGGCTTTAGATCTTGATCCTCAAATCTTAGCCTTCTGAGTAGCTAGGATTATAAGGTACCCAACACAATTTACTTTTTTTAGTTGTATTTACTTCTCTTTACAAGGATATGTTATTTTTTTCCATAGTAAGCTTAAATAATAGTAACTTTGGAGACAGGCAGAGTGGTTTGTGCCTGTAATCTCTGTACTTGGGAGGCTAAAGCAGAAGGATCATTGAGTTCAAGGCCAACCTGTGCTACATACTAAGACCTTGTCTCATAAAATGAGATAATAATAAATAATAATCATTTATAATGTTATATAATGGGACATAATATACTATAGAGTATATAATATACTATATTATTATGTATAATTATATGCAATATATAATTTGTTGTATACTATGTTAATTGAATAATTATTGCTGTCAAATAATACTGTTATTTATGATAATTCAGTAATAATTTATTATTGTACATATACGAATATCACCTTTCTCCTGTTTTTTTCTTACATAGCTGTGGAATATAAATGTCCACAGAGAAACAGAGACCAGATGTCCCTAAAACATTGGTAGACCTTTACTTGTTCAAGTGACCTCCCAAAACAGGGATACAGATAAAAGGCTCCTGCACTTCCCATATCTCAAACAGAAAAGACCAGACAGCCCACAGTCTCTAAGTTAAATTCTTTCTGGCTTGAGTCATCTGCAGTTCTAAATGGCTGCCGATCTTTATTTCTGTGGCTTGGTTGTCATAGATCATTGAAGAGCTTTCTATATCATATTATACTTAGGTTTATCAAGAAATAAGATCAGAAGATTTCAATTTGATAGAAGAAATTTAGGACCAATTTATAAAAGTACAGGTAGTTTTATAATGGACAGCTTCAAACTACAAATACTTTCATTAAAAAGTTTGTGGGGTGGTGCTGGTGCTGGTGGTAGGGGTGATACTTGGATTTGAAGTCAGACTTCATGCTTGCTAAATAGGCACTTTGCCACTTGGATCATATCTTCAGCCCATTCTGTTCTGGTAATTTTTGAGATGGTCTCTCCCTCAGCTAGCCTGAACCTGCGTTCTGTATAGTGGGGACCAGTCTACGATGAGAGGTGTATACCACCATACCAGCTTTTTCTGTTGGAATGGGGTCTAGCCACAGTTTTTTCAACCTGTCAGGCTTGCATGCAACCAGGATCCTCCCACTCAACTTCCCACAAAGTTGCTTTTGGTCAAATGGGTTTTGCAAGCTTCTTGCTTGAGTTGGCCTTGAACCACAATGCTCTTGATTGCCATTTCCTGAATAGCTACGATTATGGGTGGAGAGCTACAATGCTCAGTTTAAAAAGTGAGTTTTCTAGAACTATTCATCAGAATTGAATCAAAGTGGCAGAGTTGTAGTTTAAGAAAACATATTAGTTCTTTGGCTGTAATGCATGTTTTTTCACTTTAGGCAACAGAAGCAGCAGTATACTAACCAGCTTGCCAAAGACACAGATAAGTACATTAAAGAGTTTGGATCTCTGCCCACCACCCCCAGTGAACAGGTATTAAGCTTTAAGACACATAGTTGATATATTGGATGTGGAAGAAATTAAATGCATTGTAGGATCTTTGAACTGTGAAGCTAGAAAGGAAATTAGAGGATTAAAAAAATTGTATTTGAGATTAGTTCCCAGAACATAAAACTATATTTAGTTACTCAGGTAATCTCTAGTGTTCCAATAAAGTGAATGTTATTTTCATGTAGTTACCCTGACCCATAATTAACTGAGTGCTGAGAAAATGCTTCCTGAGTAATTACTTCCAACCTTGCAGGGCTGATTCCATGCAGCATGCACATACATTCAGTGTGCCTTAGGGTATACATTTATCTCCTTGCTTACTTAATGGAAGCTACTACTTAGGTAAGAGTCTATGGTTTTATTTGCTTAAATAAAAGAACTACTTTAAAATGACCTCAAAATCATGACCTGTTTCTTTTAGCAGCTTTGAAAGTGTACAGTGATAAATTCCGCAAGATGAACCTTTTGCCTCAAGATAAATATGCACAGTACTTACAGTATTTGAACATACTGTCAGAATGTTACTTAGACTCAATCAGTAAGTTTCTGTAATTGAGAGTGAGTGAGAAACCCAGGTTTAAAATATCAGCTAGTGATAAAACAACTATTGCCAAGCGTATTGAACTTCACAGCTTGATTCTAGTAGGCCTTTTTCTTCCTTTCCTCCAGCGTCAGAGGAAAATACAGAAGGATCGCTTAGTGGCTGAATTTACAACATCACTGACAAACTTTCAGAAAGTTCAGAGGCAAGCTGCTGAGAGAGAAAAAGAATTCGTTGCTCGAGTGAGAGCCAGTTCAAGAGTATCTGTAAGTATTTTAAACAGCATTGTAAAGATAAACCTGATACTCTCTAAGGAACCCATAGAGGTCTACATTAGGATGATTGTGTGTGTGTGTGTGTGTGTGCACACGCGTGTGTGTGTGTGTGCATGCGTGCACGCATGCGTGTAGGCACTAGGACTTGAGTTCAGGGCTTCATTTTCTTACTCAGCTTTTTCAGTCACAACTAAGCTATATATCCAGTCTGACATTTCGTTGGTTAGTTGATGTCAGTCTTACAGATTTTTCTTTCTTGGCTGGCTTTGAACCATGATCCTCTATGTCTTAACCTCCTGAGTAGCTATGAGTATAGGCGGGAGCCACTAATGACTAGCTGTTGGAATGATTTTTTTTTTTTAGGTCATAGAGATCTGTGAATATCTTGGACTTCCAAGATACTCCAACTAAGTACTTATTACCTGGTTATTCTGCTCAAATTTTTAAAAAGGATGATGGTTATATATTACTGTAGCTACCTGGATCCATGACTAGAGCAGATCACAGATTACATAAAAACTTGAAACCTACATTATCAAGAAAGACTATAAAGTCAGGTGCCGGTGGCTCCCGCCTGTAATCCTAGCTATCCAGGAGGCTGAGATCTGAGGATTGAGGTTCAAAGCCAGCCTGGGTAGAAAAGTCTGTGAGACTCTTTATCTCCAATAAGCCACCAGAAAACCAAAAGTGGTGCTGTGGTTCAAGTGGTAGAGCACTTGCCTTGAGCTGAAGAGCTCAGGGATAGCACACAGGCCCAGAGTTCAAGCCCCATGACCGACAGAAAAAAAAAAAAAGAATATAGACTTGGTACTGAGGCTTTATATATGTATGCAGGTGAGAGCAGACAGCCCACTCCCATTATATGAAAATGAAGATGAACCAAATGAATAGCTTGTGGGAATATTGAGAATGAACATGAGCCTTGAGAAAATAAGTGAAAGGAGAATTTCAAGTGGAACTTTAATTAATCTAATTTTAGATTCCCTTTGAGACTATCAGACATTGTTCCTTATTCTTTCATATTGAGATTTTACTGCTATTACGTTTTAGCCAAATAATACTATTTGGCCCTTAGCAACATTTAATGTACTCCTTCTTTGTCAGCATAGGATGTAATTCCTTGAAACAGTTAAACTTGAAAATTAGAACAGGGACACATACACACATGTACACTTTGTCAAACATGCACACACACATACATATACATATATGTGTGTATATATTAATATTTAGATGATTTTAAGAGAAAATATAAATATTTTTACTGTTCCTGTTTTATTTGCTCCTTCTTAATCCATCTTGTTACTAAATTATTCAGGGCAGTTTTTCTGAAGACGTTTCAAAAGAAAAGAATCTCGTATCTTGGGAAAGGTAAGAAATGCAAAACATTTTTTTTTTTTTAGGTCCGGTCATGGGGACTGAACTCTGGGCCTGGGCGCTGTCCTTCAGCTCTTCAGCTCAAGGCTAGCGCTCTACCACTTGAGCCACAGCGCCACTTCCGGCTTTTTTTTTTTTTTTTTTTTGCTTATGTGGTGCTGAGGAATCGAACCCAGGGCCTCATGCATGCAAGGCAAGCGCTCTACCACTGAGCCACCTTCCCAGCCCCAGAAATGCAAAACATTTTAAAGATCAAAGATAACTTTTCTGATTTTTACCATTATAGACCCTGGAGTAGAATTAAAGCATTCCATATACTACAGCATTAATATCCTGGAAATTCTTTTAAATAATTATATAAAATAGTTTTTATAAGATAAAATATTTTTTATAAAGTAGAAAAGTAAATTACCTATATAAACATGTACTGACCTAATTTTTTTTTTGTCAGTTGTGGGGCTTGAACTCTGGGCCTGGGCACTGTCCTTCAGCTCTTCAGCTCAAGGCTAGTGCTCTACCACTTGAGCCACAGCTCTACTTCAGCTTTTTCTTTTTATGTGGTGCTGAGGAATGGAACCCATGGCCTCATGTATGCAAGGCAAGCACTCTTCCACTGAACCACCTTCCCAGACCCCTGACTGACTTAATTTTTCATATTGATTGTTCTCTTAAATTAGGCTTAAGTAAGTCTAAAATAATGAAGAGAATGAAAACTGAATAAAATTTGGGCAATATATGCATTATATTCTTAGCACTTTTTAAGATAAGCAGTACCCATTGGAAGACCAAAATAATTAATAGCTATGTCTTAAATAGGAAATAAGTCCTTGATTCTGTGTTTTTTATTAGCCCAGCACAACCTCAGGTGCAGGTACAGGATGAAGAAATCACAGAGGATGACCTGCGCCTTATCCATGAGAGAGAGTCTTCTATCAGGCAACTTGAAGTAAGCCTCCCTTGTAAACTCAGGCTACTGCCCTGCCCTTAGTGAGTCTGCTTACAGTGCATAGAAGGGGAAGGGGTTGGAGAAAGAAACTAGCCTTTCATTCTGTAGCACTTCTAGTGTATAAGTTGAATTCTAGGATAACAGAGCATACTTCCCCTTATCCCAAATGTCTTTTTAATTCTGTTGTCATCTACAAGTCACCTTAGGACCAGTCTAGAGATTTTGGTCTGTCAAGGGAAATTGAATGACATCCTGTGACACATCATAACATCTTACCTATATAATTAAGCCCTTTTAAGTGACTTTACAAATTTTATTTCTGTTTGGTATGTGTTTGATATCAGAGAGGCCTAAGGATTTATTAAGTCTGATATCCTGTGGAATCCTTCTAGTTCCTAGAAGGTGGACCACTAATTGCTAACAATAGCTATAATTTTTTGAGGGTCTTCTATAAGCCAGGCATGTTGTGATTCATTCTTTATATTAATTACTTCAGTTAGTTTACATAAAAGCTGTGTTAATTAGTTAACCTAATTACTTTATAGAGGAGGAAAATAATACGTGTGAATACGTAAACTTCACGGCTAATAGAAATAAAACATTTAAACTTCGCTTGTTAGTTGGACAAAATAAGTCATTTATTGAATGAAACTTATGACATTATAAAGTCAAATCCATTTATTATTTATCTGGTACTGAAATTCATAACTTTATTAATCAATTATAAAATTTATTGATGTAGGACTTAAAATTTTAGCTAGTATTTTATTTTTAAATTATCAAATATATACATTTTTACATAGAAATATGCCATAAGAATGTTCTAGTGGTATGAATAACCAATGTTGTTTAGTAAATGCCTAGTATATTCCAAGTTCTTGTAACAACTGGGTTAGGTGAATTACCTTATCTCATTAATCTTCTTCTAGTTCTTTAAAGCATAAAGTTACTGATAGATTTCTCTTTCAATATAAGCCTCTAGAACTATAAATTTCCCTCTGAAAACTATTTTTAGAGTGTCTCATTTTTAAAAAATGAATATTTTTACTGTTCTAAACAGACATTGCTTGTGATAACGTAACTGTCAAATTGCATAAAATAAATTGAGTGATCCATGTCCCTCTTTTGTTTGCATCCTACTTCAGTTAGTATTTTAAATGCCACAAATTTGTTTTTGAGTCTTAGTGTTTGTTGTTAGGATTGTTTATAGTGAAATAGTTTCCTGTTATTTCTAAATTTTGCATTAGAACCCTAAAGTGCGAGATTTTTTGTTGTTGTTATATGCCTTTTTAAAAATCGCTTTCTCTTTCTCGGGACTGAATTTCTGTTAATCAATAAGTATGTGCCTTTTTTCTTAGGCTGATATTATGGACATTAATGAAATATTTAAAGACTTAGGAATGATGATTCATGAACAAGGAGATGTGATTGGTGAGTCTTAAGGATTTACATTGCCTAGGGTGGGAGGAAGTTACATGCAGCAGCTTAGTTAGGCAACAGTAATTTTTTTTGTTGGTTTGTTAGTTTTTCACTCTATGTTGGGTGGTCTGGGATTAAAAGCATAGTGTTTACAACCAGCCTCATCACCCAAGGCAGTTTCTAAAACCCCAGTTGCAAGCCTGCTGGTTAACTCGAGCAGCTTCATGTATTTCAGAGCCCCCAATTTAATCAAGGCCTACTGCTGCTCAGATGTTAGAAAGCATCATCACTCCAGCTCACGCCCAGGGTTTCCCTCTCACCCTAGTTCAATTCTCATTCCTTGAGGACTTTGAGTGAAACTTGTATTTGCGCTTTCATATTCTATCTTGTCTTTTAGGTATAGGGAATAGATAGCTATTTGCCTGATCACTCCCATAGTTTTTTCTGTTGTTTTTTGTTTTTGGTAGATGAAAGATTTTTCTTATGCTAGAAATTTTTCAAAAGAATTCTTTTAAAAAATCCATCTAAGTTTAAATGTTAGTTTTCAGTTAAGGTCTAATTGTCAGCACTGATCAGGATCCATATTATTATTATTATTATTATTTTACCATTTTGAGATATGGTGGACAGATTTTTCCCTGGTGGTGATCAGAATCTTTGGTTGTGGAAGGAGAGGGTTTGTTTGATCTTCTCTGTTTGCACATTAGTCTTGATAAGAAGAAGCTGTGGAGTTACAGATTTGTGCTGAGCGGTGGACCTGGAGTTGCTTTGCGATGGAGATAACCAGAGTTCTCCCTTATACGTGCATATTGTTTGGATTACTCTAGAAATGTAATAACTAGGATGGCTAGGATTCTTAGCAGAGGATCACAACAGCTCAACAGCTAGATGCATATGACCATATAAAATGATGCTTATTGAAATGAACTCCAACAAATGGAAACAAGAGCTTTTTCTAGTATACTGTTTGCAGTTATTTCTTTCTCCCTCCATCCTCTGTTTAGTTTATTCCCTCTTGTCACTGTTTTTGATTTCTGTACCCTTTTAACTTGTATATAAGTTTATCTGATTTGGGGGAGGGAAGGGGAATCACAGAAATGATGGGACAAAGGGTGAACCAATGCAACAATGATACTAGATACTGTGTTGGAAATGAACTTTATAACTTGTGGAGGGCAGGAAGCGGGGCGGGGGGTGCTGGGGAGGGATGGGAAATGGGAGAAAATGAGAGAGGGTTAACACTGTTCAAAAAGCAGTGTACTCATTGCCTTACTTAATGTAACTATACCCACACTGTACATCACCTTTACAATAACATTTTTTAAAAAAGAAGTGGTATAAGGAAGAATTTTACCCAGCTGTAAACTTTGTGATTCGTTACTGTTAAGCGCTTTGAGTAATGAACATATACAACAACCTTGAATGAAATTTGTGACTTATTGCTAGAACCTCAGTTAATATTTAGCAGTTTTATATATATGAGTGTGTTTTATTTTAAAGATAGCATAGAAGCTAATGTAGAAAATGCAGAGGTACACGTTCAACAGGCAAATCAACAGCTGTCAAGAGCAGCAGATTATCAGGTAATGTTAGCTCTCATAAATTTTTTGTAACCTATAAAGTTAACGTAAAGTAGGGGGGGGTGTTAAAGTAGTCATATATGTTAATTTTGAAACCCCACCGAAGAGAAATCAGAAATATACTAGCCACTTTAATATTGGTGTTAGAGAATTTTATAAAGCAAAAAAAGTAACTAGAAATTTGATGTCAATAAGTTCCAGTTTATGTCAGTCTAGAAATGCACCAAATTATTTTCATTTGCTATAGAGATACTTCACTGAACCTGTGAACGTGTTTTTTTGTTTTTGCATTTGCAGCGCAAATCCAGAAAAACCTTGTGCATCATCGTGCTTATCCTTGTTATTGGAGTTGTGATTATCGGTGCCATCGTATGGGGATTGAAAAGCTAAAACTGTTGCACTACATTCTTTAAATTATGTAGGAGACCCCTGCAATCATGTTTTTATTATTACTGTTTTAAAGCTGTTGCTTAATGGATGGTTCCCATACTTCGTTATTTTTATTGGTGGGGTTCCTTTGGAGAAAATATGGTATTTTCTAATACTGAGAGTTTTTCTAAATATCATTGCTGGCATGACTTCCATGCTTTTTGATTCAATAACTGATAGTGTTCTGCCCAACTGTACATAACTTTCATTTATAATTTATTTCTCCTGTTTGACTTAGTTTTTGAAATTAGTAAATGAAAAACGGTATGTGTTCTATATCTCTGTCACTGCTTAACATGCAACCAGATTTTTGTGTTACTTTAATTCAAATTCTCAGATTAAAATTTTATTTGGCCAGCAGAGAAAATATTCTCAATAACTTAAAAGCTAACATGTCTGTTTATATATTTCCTGTGGTTCATAATAGCCTATGTTGTTTAACTTTTACTGTTGAATTTCTTTGAATAAAATCAATGTATCATTTCCTAGTATATCTCCTGTACCTGTAAAGCATTTGCTGTAGATTGCCTAGATTACACGTGGTCTATTTAAAGTCTGATGTTTACTAGGGATGATGAAGTCATTTGGAAGTTGGATTCTAAAGATCCCAACCTGTTTTTCACTGATATTAAAAATACATTATTTACTTTCCTTTATGTTCTGTAGAATAATGATTATACAACATATCTTCGGATGTGACTTAAAGGAAATAGCTTTCCCACGATTATACTTTTTCAGCCTAACACTTAAAATTTAGTGTTTATACTGAGTACCATTTTGTACCATCCTTCATTAGGAAACGAATGTTTACCAGTTAACTCACTTGCCTTTTTAAGTCAATATTGTTTGAATGCATGAAAAAAAGGATGATCTTAGTTTATCATTTGAATTTTATAATGTTCTTATAGCAGTTTGATATTGAAGGCAGTGTTTCATGTGGTGAACTTTGAGACTTTCAGTGGGAACAAATGGAATATTAACTATTAAATTGTATGTTTGAAACCAAAATAAAGATGATTTAAAAGGTGTATGGGCAGATCTGTTTCTTGAGGACTCTGATTCTAGAGGGCAGATCAAAGTTCCTCTCACACTTTGGAACTTGAAATCTGAGCACTGGAGTCACAGCGCCATCCTCTGGCCAGATAGACTGCATCTTTTTAGATCACTGGTGTACTCAAACTTTATTTTGGGGACTCTGCCTGGATGCTAAACAAAGATTATTTTCCTTCAGTTGATTTTGCAGAGTCTGTAGACTCCATGAAGCAATATCTCATTAACCAAGTCAAAAAGACCGGAACTTTTCCTCCTTAATGTTTAACTACTTTTATTTTTCAATATGTAAACAAACAAAAACCTACCCAATACATTGAAATCAGACTTTTTTTTTAATGTAGGGCGTTGGAGGCTTGTCTTATCAGAAGTATGGGATGAAAGGTGTCCTTAGCACTTTAGTGAGTATCTCTGGAGTCCAAGCCAAGGAACCCCTGTGAATCTTCAGAACACCTGGAAGCTCTTCCTTCTAGGCCTGTTTTACTGGTGTGCTATACTCACATGTCAGTCTCATGCAGCTGTTACCAAGGCCTGATACTCTCACAGTTGGCTTTTTCCACTCAAGGTTGGTGCTCTATCACTTGAGTCACTTCTGGCTTTTTACTGGTGAACTAAAGATAAGAATCTCTCAAATTTGTCTGACTGGGTTGCCTTTAAACCGTGATCTGAAGATCTCAGCCTCCTGCGTAGCTAAGATTACAGGTTTACAGGATTACACTAACATCAGTCTTCTGCTCTTAATAGCACCAAAGCAGGTACCTTTATAAGAGACTCTGAAAGTGCATGATGATAATGTCCGCTGCTTATCCTCACTTCTGCCTGGAACAGCCTCTGAGGAAAGATGGCCTCCCTTTCTACCTTTCAGATCTCAGAGGAAAATTTCTGATTGGTCAACGCATGCTGAAAACTAGGAAATTTAGGAGATGTATTTTTTTCTCTATACTGTAGAGGATGCTGTAGGTGACTGTTACTGGCATGACTACCAGTCTAGCATAATAATGAATTGAACCCTGTAATGAACAAGCCTTGAAGCAGAAATACAGAATTTTTCTCTTCTGTTAGGAAACATTCCATGAAAACAATTTAGTGCTGCCTCTAGATGGTGAATGAATCTCTAAGGAGATATGTATATGTGTGTGTAAGTGCCTACTAGTTTTCCTGTCTTTCCTTCCTCCCCTAGTAGTTGTTCAATAAGTAGTTAAGTAAATTTGGCATGTGTTTGGGCCGACTTTTTGCCCGACAGCAAATTGTCCGGTAGAGAGGCTTTGTGAAACAAGTGTAGCCCTTACCCTCATAGCCACACTCACATTAAAAAAAAAATGTCACCAAAAGGAAAATGCTGAGTAGGAAAGGAAAGAGGCAGGGAAGAAAGGCAATATGGGGATTAACTCATCACTTGAGACCACCTGGCACTTGCACAATTGGCCACTGTTCACCCTGATTCATAGGCTATGTTGTCCTATTTCTGTATTTGAAAATTAGGATTTGGAGAAAAGATAATTTTCATGTTAACCCACTGATGACCAAAACAAAGAACTAAAATTGGCATACTGATACAGTATTTGAGTTATGAGCCTGTTTAACCTATCAAGTAGCTGAATTTAATTTTCTTATCTTAAATAACAGACCTCAAGACAAATCTATAGTTTTATAAAGAGAAGCTACTAATTTGAATAATGGTCAGTCTCCAAAAGGGAGTCATTCTCTGGCGGATGTAGATCTAAAGCATCCTGCTGTAGTCTGGTCTGACATTTATGACATTTACAAAACTACTGCTTTCTGAAAGAAGGCAGAATGATGGAAAGAACTGAGTCAGCCAAGGGGAATTGGAAATCTTTTATTTTATTTAAAAGCCCTCAGTGCATTATGCTCCTTGTAAAATATACCTTAATATGTTTTTTAATTTAACCATCTCTTGGCAATTATTTTTCATGAAGAAAAAGAATACGTACAGAGGAAAGCCCTCTTATTGGCTCATGCTAGTACATCTTTCTCAATTCAAATGCTGTATCAATATGCAAGTTTTAATCCTTTGTCTTGGTCATTAGTGGGTTAACATGAAAATTATCTTTTCTCCAAATCCTAATTTTCAAATACAGAAATAGGACAACATAGCTGACACCCTGAGTAGGTTTTCTTAGACACTGTTTCTCCCGACTCCCTTTTAAGAGGCTGGTCACTAACTACTCAGAGCGAGATTCCTGTAGGTTTTGTGCAGTGAAGGCATTACTGTTTGAACTGTAAGTGGTGGAGGGCAAAACCCCAATTTCCTGTGCTGTTCTTACATGCATAACACCCGCACTTGTTTCAGAGGGAGTCTTCTAGAACTGAACTGGGTCTTTAAATAAACTTGAAAGGACATTAATTCCCACTTTGGTCAACCCAAAGTACAAATTTTTAAGTGTTTACTGTAAGTACTGACAGACAGTAGTTGCTGACTCCCCAAACCTTAGGTTGATGGAAAACTTAGCGGTATAATTGTTTCGCCTGATCTGAGACTTACTGACACCTAGTTTGACTTTCTAGTGCCCACTGGCATTTACATCGGCAGTTTAATGGCAGACCTGAAAAAGCTGAACTCAGATAAGGAAAAAGAAAGCATCTTTCTTAGAAATTGGGGATTTAACCCGAGGAAGATGCCAGACTTGATGATGAAAAGCTCTTTCTGTCAGTAATGCTTCTGGAAACATAAAGCCAAACTTCAGTGGAGAAAATTCAGTTGCTTTTTTTTTTTTTTTAACAGACCTAAGTGCTCTGATCATTTTAAGTATGTTTTAAGGCACTTGCAGTGTGCCTGACCCCATCTGATATCCTCCTGAGCAAAACTTAATACTTGTTTAACCTCTCCAAATCCTATGGATTTAATACTTAATTACTATTTTTAGTGGGGACCATATACCAGAATTTAATGGAATAATTGTCCCATATCATTTATATTAATTCTATCAGTAAATTAGCATACTTTTTGTTCAAAATTAGGGCTTCTTTTTTTAATGATCTGTAGACAAACATTTTTCTTAGTAATTTAGAAATTTTCTAAGTTGTATTAAGTTTCTTTTAAGCCTAGGATATGACCTATACTTTCCTTTGGAATAATATGTCTGAAATAACTCATTCTCCTTAATGTGTAAAATATATTTAATGCTAATACTTTACAGTTTTATTTGCAATAACTAGTTTCACATACTGCTGTAAGAAATAATACAGAGATTTCTTACATCTTTTTACCCAGTTTTCTCCAAAGTGAATATCTTGGAAATTATAGTACAGTGTCACAACCAAGATATTGATTTCAGTCAAGAGAAAGAAACAGAACTTCCCCACACTGAGTGTTTTCTATTACAGAGATTCTCGTGTTGCCTTTTATACCTATACCTACTGGCTTTACCTCCACCACTGCTCAGTCTTTGTCAGCCCTAATCTGTTCTTCCTTTTTTCATTTCAGCTGAACTCCTAAATTTCCATTCTTAAGAGATTCATCCCAATTGTTTGTTTGAAGTCCAACAATGTTTCTTTTCGAGTGTGAATAATGTTACATATTATGAATAAATAAATCACACTTGAACTGTTCACCTGATGAGAGGTATTTATATATATGTGATATATGGATATGTAATTATATACTAGAATTTATAATATAGTTATATTAATATTATTAATGAAGATCTTGGTGTTTGAACTCATGGCCTCACACTTGCTAGGCAGGCACATTACTGCTTGAGCACCACCCCACCCCTTTTCCAGTTAGTTTTCAGATAGGGTTTTTCCTGAGGCTGGCTTTGGATTAGGATCCTGCTGCTTAAGGACTCCTACATAGCCTAGATGGCCATCCCACCCAGTTTATTTGTTGAGGTGGGGGGTCTCACTATTTTGCTCTTGAAACTTAATCCTGATTTCTGCCTCTCTAGTAGCTAGGATGATGGACTTGAGCCACCATGGTTGGCCCTGGTGTTTTGGCTATTGTCAATAAAATTGCTGTAAACATTTAAGAGTATTCAGGTTTGTGTTAACATAGCCTTCATTTCTCTGGGATAAATGTCCAGAATTGCCAGTGTTGGGTCATACGGTAGTTGAATATTTGTTTTCTAAGTTGTCAAAATTATTAGACGCCAGCATAGCTTTACCATTTCACATCTCCATCAGTAGAAATGTATGAGGGACCTAGTTTTTTCACATTCGTGTCTTTGTGATAGGTGGGTAGTAGTAACTCTAGTTTACATTCACTAATGGCCAATGATGTTGAGCATAATTGTTTCATAAGTGTATTTGCTGCTCATAATTTGTTCTTTAGTGTCATGTTTCTTTTTGTCTTTCTAAACCTTTTTTCTAATGTGTTTGAGTTTTTGGATATGCGACTCACAAATATTTTCTCCCACTCAGTAGAGTGTGTTTTCCTCCTTTTAAATGGGTATGTTGGAGATTTTAGTTCTCATGACGTCCCATTTATCAATTTTTCTTTCATAGGTCATGCTTCAGGTATCAGGAATCCTTTCTGCATAGTCTTGGATCCCAAAGATTTTTTCATTTATGTTTTGAAAGTGTTACAGCTTTATATTAATTTTAAATGTTCATATCTTTTGCCAAGTTAGGGAAATTTATAGTTATTATTTCTTAAGGTACTTTTCTTTCTTCTTTCCTTTGAGACTTTTGTTTTTGTTTTTTGTCAGTCCTGGGGCTTGAACTCTGGAACTGGGCACTGTCCCTCAGCAATTGAGCTCAAGGCAAGCACTCTCCAACTTGAGACACACAGCACCACTTCTGGTTTTCTGGTGGTTAATTGGAAGTGAGAGTCTCATGGACTTTCCTGCCCAGGCTGGCTTTGAACCGTGATCCTCAGATCTCAGTCTCCTGAGTAGCTAGGATGATAGGTATTGAGCCACCAGCACCTGCCTGGCTTATTTTTCATTTTTTAAGTTACCATTAAGTAGTTGCCATTTATGAAAGCCTTTTATGAGTACAGTGCATCTTGATCTGTCAC